CGCGCGCGCGCTCTCTCTCTGTGTCCCTCGCGCGCGCGCGCTCTCTCTCTGTGTCCCTCGCGCGCTTGCTCGAATGTTTTGCAGGATATGTGCAGGGAACTAGAAGTTTGAAAACCATGCTAAGGTCCAGGTTGGAGAAACTCAGCAGATCTGGCATCATCTGTAGAGAGAAAAGCAGAGATAATGTTTCGAATCCAGTGATCCTTCGTTAGAATTGAAGTGAGGAGGTGGGTGAGACAGAGTACGTGCAGATAGTGCCCAGAGAGAGAGAGAAAACAAAAAGGGATAGGCACAATAAATATGAACAGACACAGTGTGATGGGGGCTTTGAAGCAAACAGAGCCTGGCCCAGAAGCAGAGGAGGGTTGTTATTGTGTTGTATCCCTGGAATTGCTCTTCTAACCCTTGCTTTTTCAAAAAGTTTACTCAAGAAGGATGAAGATCTTCTTTGTATTTCCTTTGTGCTTCTGGGAGTGTTGGAGTGTCACGATGGCTCAGTGGTTAGCACTGCTGCCTCACAGCGCAAGGGACCTGGTTTCACTTCCACCTTTGGGTGATTTTCTGTCTGGATTTTGCACATTCTCTCTTTGTCAGCAAGGATTTCTTCTGGGTGCTTCAGTTTCCTCCCACAGTCCAAAGACTTACAGATTAGATGGGTTGGCCAAGGTAAATTGCACGTAGTTTCCAGGGATGTATGCAGGTTAGGTAGGTTAGCCATAGGAAATGCAGACTTAGACGGATAGGGTAAGAGGGTGGGTCTGGGTGGAATACACTTTGGAGAGTCAGTGTGGACCAAATGGGCCAAATGGCCTGCTTTCATACTGTAGGGATTGTATAAAACCAGCAGCAAAGACCAGACGGCCTGAACATTTGACATAAGAACTGCAACTGTTCTTTGATCCTAACCATTGGAGAAACTTTCCACTCCACTTCCATTTTATTTTTGATCTTTTCTTTCTGTCTTTCTCTGCTGCGTTTCACCAGCAGTTTCTGTTTTTGTTTCATATTTCCAGCATCGGCAGTTCTTTGTTTTTATTAATGTCCGGGTTGTTGTGTTACCAGCGAATGGAGTGGAAGGTTTCTCCACTGGTTAGGATCAACGACCATTAGAAGATCTTCTTTCAATGCCTTTGTTGTGGCTTTACTTCGTAGCCGCAATTAAACTGTGACAGTTCAGGTGATCAATGTGTAGGGCTGAGATTGCTGCATCCTGAAGCAGTGGCTTTGAGCATTTGAGTTAGGTATTTTGTGCACATTGGTAAAGATGCAACTCAATTTCTTAATGATGGTGTAGATTCCTGTTCAGGGTGTGAATGACTAAATCTGTGATAGTTTTCACAGAAACACAAGTAGGCCAATCAGCTCTTCAAGTCTGTTCGGCCATTCAGTGAGGTCATGGCTGATCTGTGGCCTGACTCCATATATCTGCTTTTGGCTCATATCCCTTAATGCCATTTTTTAATTAAAAAAAAACTAGCTCATGTTTAAACCTAAGATGTGTTCCAGCATTGACTGCCATTCGTGGACAAAAGTTCCAAACCTGGAATATCTCTGTGTGGGTGTCACAAAGACATGGCTGCAAGGGGATCAGGGCTGGGAATTAAATATCCAAGGATAACAGTTAATTTGCAAGATGGCTGCACTGTTCAAATCTTTCACTGTGTTGTAATTGAAACTGAAGAGTCATTTGGAGGAAAATACTAGTTGTATTTGTGAAGAACAATTCGAGTATGATAGAAGGTTTTTTAATTTAGGAATTTAATTTATTTTTTTCTCAGGAAGGAATGGAGATTTAAGGAGTCCAGGCTTATAATCAGGATCTTAAGCTAGACTATGTATACTGTAAAGCTGCTAATATAGGAAGGCATTATTTAAAGATATTACATTTATAGGAAAGATATTATTAAGCTGGAGAGGGTTCAGAAGAGACTTACCAGGATGTTGCCGGGTATGAAAGTTTTGAGTTATAAAAGAAAAGGTGGATAAGCTGGGACTTCTTTCACTGGAGCCTAGGAGGTTGACAGGTGACCTAATAGAATATTATAAAATAATGAGGGGCATAGATAGAGTTAATGGTAGTCGTCTTTTCCCAAGGATGGAGGATATCAAAACCAGGGGTCACATTTTTAAAGTGAGAGGAGAGAGAATTAAAAAAAGACATGAGGGGCAAATTTTTTACACAGAGGGTAGTTTGCGTATGGAATGAACTTCCTGACGAAGTAGAAGATGTGGGTACAATTACAACATTTAAAAGACATTTAGGTAAGTACATGAATAGGAAAGGTTTCGAGGGATATGGGCCAGGAGGAGGCAGGTGGGACTAGTTTAGTTTGGGATTGTGTTTGGCATGGACTGGTTGGACCGAAGGATCTGTTTCCATGCTGTATGACTCTGATATAGATCCTATTGAAAGGACCAGCATCTGGCAGAGGGAATGGGGTTGCCTTGTTAGCAAGAAATGAAATTAAATTGATAGCAAGAAATGACATCGGTTGGAAGGCGTAGAATCGGTATGGGTAGGGTTGAGGAACCACCAAGATAAAAACGTCCTGATGGGAGTTGTGTACAAGACCCCTAGCAGTAGTCAGGATTTGGGGCAGAAAATAAATCCGAATTTATCGAAGGTATGTGTTACACTAAATATGGGGGATTTCAGTTTGCAGGTGGGCTGGGAAAATCAGGTTGGTTACAGATCCCAAGAAAAGGAATTTGTAGAATGTCTGTGAGATGGTTTTATGGAGCAGCTTGTGGTAGAAAGTCTACTGAGGAACAGCAATTCTGGATTTGGTGATGTGTAATGAGGCAGACTTGATTAGGAAGCTTAAGGTGAAGGGACCCCTAGGGGGCAGTGATTATCATAGAATTCACTCTGCAGTTTGAGAGGAAGCAGCTGAATCAGATGTAATGGTACTACAATTGAGTAAAGGGAACTACAAAGACATGAGGGAGAAGCTGCCCAGAATTGATTGGAAGATGATGAAGCACTAATGGCACAAGTTTCTGGTAGTAATTCAGGAGGCATAATAGAAATTTATCCTAAGGGAGAAGGAACATACTAAGGGGAGGACAAGGCAGCCATGACTGACAAGGGAAGTCAGGGACAGCATAAAAGCAAAAGAAAAAGCATATAATGTATTGAAGATTAGTAGGAAGCCAAAGGATTAGGAAGCCTTTAAAAACAATCAGAAGACAACTAAGAAAGCAATAAGGGAGGAGAAGATGAAATATAAGTGTAAGCTAGCTAGTAATATAAAAGAAAATTTTAAGAGTTTTTTTTAGATATATAAAATGTGAGAGAACATTGAACTGCTGGAAAATGAGACTGGAGAAGTAGTAATGGGGAACAAAGAAATGGCAGAGGAACTGAATAGGTACTTTGCATCAGTTTTCAAGAGATTCGAGGGGCAGTGGTGTGTGTAGTGGTCATTACTAAGGAGAAGGTGCTGGGGAAGCTGAAAGGTCTGAAAGTGGATAAATCACCCAGACTGGATGGACTACACCCTGGGGTTCTGAAGGAGATAGCTGAGGAAATTGTGGAGGCATTCGTGGTGATTTGTCAGAAACCACTGGAATCAGGGAGGGTCCCAGAGGATCTGAAAATGGATAATCTAGCACCCCATTTCGGAAGGAATGGAGGCAGAAGACGAGGTATTATAGACCAGTTAGCCTGACCTCGGTTGTCAGTAAGATTTTGGAATCCATTGTTAAGGTTGAGGTTGCGGAGTAGTAGAGTCATAGACTATTTTCTAAATGGGGAAAGGCTTCAGAAATCGGAAGCGCAAAGGGACTGGGAGTCCTAGTTCATGATTCTGTTATAATTAACATGCAGGTTGAGCTGGCAGTTAGGAAGGCAAATGCAATGTTAGCATTCATTTCAAGAGGGCTAGAATACAACAGCAGGGATGTACTGCTGAGGCACAAGGCTCTGGTCAGGCCATGTTTGGAATATTGTGAGCGGTTTTGGGCCCCGTGTCTAAAGCATGTGCTGGCCTTGGAGGGGGTGCAGAGGTTTGCAAGAATGATCACTGCAATGAAGGGCTTGTCCTGTGAGGAGGGGTTGGGGACTCTAGGTCTATACTTGATGGAGTTTAGAAGGATTGTGGGATCTAATTGAAACTTAAATAATACAAGAGTCCTGGAGAGAGTGGATGTGGAGAAGATGCTTCCACTAGTCAAAGAGACAAGAACCCGAGGGCAAAGCCTCAAAGTGAAGGTTGACCCTTTAGCACTCAAATGAAGAGGAATTTCTTCAGACAGAGGGTAGTTAAACTCATTGCCACACAGGGTTGTGGAGGCCATGCAAATGAGTGCATTTAAGACAGAGATAGATAGGTTCTTGATTAGTTAGGGGATCAAGGGTTACGGGGAGAAGATAGGAGAATGGGGTTGAGAAACCTATCAGCCATGATCAAATGGTGGAGCAGAATCGACGAGTCTAATTTTTCTCTTATATCTTATGATCTCTACTACCCTTTGTGTGCAGAAGTGGTTCTCAATATTTCTCCTGAACACTGTGGCCCTAATGCGCAGACTGTCCCCTATGTGATGATGGCTATGACCAAGCCATGTTTCAGATGGTAGTGGCTGGTTTGTTGATGTGGGTCTCTTGGATCCTGGCCATTTGGACAATATGTATCGGTGTTAACGAAATGTTCTTGTATCTGTTAGGGGGTCTCCCTTGACATGGTCCTGGTTGGCATATTCCATGGACTTGAAGGGTTGGCTTTAGTTGCTCTGGAAAGGAGACTATCGGTCAATTAATTGTGTGCCACACTCAGGACTTTAGTTGTAATTTCTCGCTGGAAAGAGGACACCTGTGAAGGCTGACAGTTTCTGCTCTAGATTAGGAGTTACCATCAAGTAAGAAACTAATAAAGGACATAAAATCTAAAACCTTGTGGGTGTTCGAGATTTGGAATGAAATCAGGGTGGTGAAAAGGGTCTAGGCCCGGAGCGTCAGCCTTTCTGCTCCTGTGATGCTGCTTGGCCTGCTGTGTTCATCCAGCTCTGCACCTTGTTGTCTCGGATTCTCCAGCATCTGCAGTTCCTACTATCTCTGGTGAAAAAATTCAGCAGGTCTGACAGCAGGACCAGGAAAAACTTCCTTGCACAAGGATTTGGAATGTACTTCCTGACAGGGAAATTGATACAGATTCAATAATGGTCTTTAAAAAGAATTTAATATGGACGGAGAACTATAAGGATTTAGGGAGAAACTGGGTTTAACTGGATTTATCTTTAGAAGAATCAATGCAGACTTGATAGACCAAATGGCTGGTTCCTCTGCAGCACTGTTGCATATGATTCTTTGACAACTTTGAACTCTTTATCTTGCGTATTTCCACAGATTTGTACAGTATAAAGCTACTTCTCTTGAGAAACAGCACAAACACGAGTTGTTAACAGAACCAGATCTGGGAGTTGTGATTGACCTCATCAACCCCGATACATACCGGATTGATAACAATGGTAAGGTCAAGGTCTGTCTGCTTCAGCACAATGTTCCGTGTAACTTGGCTGCTTTCGTGATATGTTGATAGGGTTCTGAACTGCTCGTGTCCCTGATCTTCTGTCCCCGCACTTTGTCCTCTGGCTCCCACTCTCTGGCAACAGTCATTCACTATTCTACTTGAGGTTCTTGCACAGAAAGAACTGGAAATGTAAGTAGACCATTCAGCCCCTCAATTCTGCTCTGCTAAATGATGGATCTGCTCATGACCTCAAGTCCATCTTCCTGTCCATGCCCCATAACCATCAACTCCCTTGTTGATCAAAAAATCAGTCCACCTCAGCCTTGAATATATTTAGTGAACCAGCCTCCATTGCTGTCCGAGAAAGAGAATTCCGCAGACTAATGACCTTCTGAGAAGAAAAGAAAAATCCCTACCTTAGTCTTAAAAAGGAGACTCCTAATTTTCAAACACCTCCTGGTTCTAGACTCGCCCATAACAGGAAGTTTCCTCTCCACATTGCCTCGTTAAATCCCCTCAGGATTAATGTTTTAATAAGATCATCTCTCATTCTTCTAAACTCTAATTCCATTTATTTAAACTCTAGACTGCATGTTTAGTAGTGCAAGAAGCATTCTTACAAGCAGATTGCATCCCTTGCCATCTGAAATCTGGGTCTTTCTGTGCCTGCAGGAAACAGGGACCTGATTGTTACCCCAGTGGTTATAAATTTTTCATGATATTCCAAAGAAATCTTTTGGTTGTACGCATGGAAATGTTGCAGCAGCCTGTAAGCTGGTACCACCAGGCTCAGACAGTGTCCAAACTTTTAATTACACCAATTCAGGCAGTGCTAAATTGCAGAGGATTAGACTAACAAAACGATTTAGCGCAGTGGCGATATTTAATAATTCCATTTTCACTTATTATCTTAAGGTCATGTTCCTCGGGAAATGTCATGAGTGTTAGCTAAACAATAGGTGAACTTGAAAAATATTCAGCATTAGCTAGGGAATCTGGATAGCTCTTACTTAGTTCTATTTATAGTAGAAAAAAACATTTTTTCAGTTAGAAATTATCAGATCAAGGCTGTGCTGTTCTTGGACAGACTCGCACCATTCTCAGTCACCCAGCGTAATGTTCAACCTTTAATACCACGCCACTGTTGTCCTGTGCAATTGTGAAATTTGTCTTTGCTGTATATGCGATCATTTAAATTGGAAGCAAATTGGAAGCAGGAGTAGCCACTTGCCCTTCAAGTTTGCTCTGCCATTCAGTAAGATCAAGGCCGATCTGATTACTCCACATTCCTGCTGATCCTGAAGACGTATCACCATCTTGCTTGCCAAGAATCTATCTACTTCTACCTTAGAATGATTCAAAGCTGCAACTTTCAAAGGAAGAGAGTTCCAAGGACACTTGACCCTCTCTGGAAACAAAAATTCTCCTGATCTCTGACTTAAATGGGTGACCCCTTATTTTTAAACATTGACCCTACATTCTAGATTCTCCCACAAAAGGAAACATTCTGTACATCTGCACCCAGTCAAGATCCCTCAGAATCTCTTGTGTTTCAATCAAGTCACCTCTTACTCTTCCAAACTCCGGTTGGCACAAGCCCAGCCTGTGACTTTCCTCATGTGACAGCTTCTGAATTGACTACCAGCAACCAATAAGGAGTGCCATCCCTTTACCCGTCGCATAAGTTTTAGCAAATTTAAGTGCAGCACTTGTTTTCCCTCATTGTTCTGAATGATTTTGTTCCCTGGTATTTGATCAGCACTGCTGTCCTCTGATGGTATCATTTCCTCTCCACAGTCATTCTTGATATTGCAGATGAGAAGCTACTTGAAGAAGAAATTCAGGCACCATCGAGTTCAAAACGGTAAGTGATGAGAGATCCACCTATGGTATTAGCTGGGAGCAACTGGGTGCTAGTTGGCACCGGCCAGGAGTGACTGAGCAGAGACAGTCACCATTGGGTGAAAGTGACAGAGGGGCATGTTCATTGCTGGTTGGGAATGACTGTAGGGGAGTACTGGTTGGAGTTACCAAGGGATGTTAGGCAGTGTTGATTGGACATCAAGACTGTGGGTGTGGGAGAGTAGTGTGGCAGCGTTCGCTGCTGACCAGGGGTGTCCGGGAGTGACCAGGAGACAGCTAGAAGAAATGGAGGCTAGGGAACTCGGGGAAATAAATATTGATGTCTTGAAAACAGTCAACATTACAGAAGAGCTGGAGGTCTTAAAAATCATAAAGGTGGTTAAATCTTTGGGACCTGCTCAAGTGTGTCCCAGGATGTTGTAGGAAGTTAGGGAAGAAATTGTGGGGCCCCTAGTAGAGATGTTTGGATCATCTAAAGCCATGGCTGATGTGCTGGAAGACTGGAGTGTATTCCAATGTTGTGCCTTTATTCAAGAAAGGCTGTAAAGAGAAGCCAGGAAATTATAGACCAGCAAGTCTAACATCAGTGGTGGGTAAATTGTTGGAGAGGATTCTGAGAGATAAGATTTGCATGCATTTGGAGAGGCAAGGACCGATTTGAGTTGGTCAGCATGGCTTTGTGCATGGGAAATCGTGTCTCACAAACTTAATTGAGTTTTTTGAGGATGTAACCAAAAAGAATGATCAGGACAGAACGGTAGATGTCGTCTTCATGGACTTTAGTAAAGCTTTTGACAAGGTTCCGCATGGTAAGCAATTTAGTAAAGTTAGACCATGTGGGATTCAGGGAGAGCTTGCCAGTTGAATACAAAATTGGCTGTATGGTAGGAGATAGAGGGTGGTGGTGGAGGGTTGTTTTTCGGCCTGTGACCAGTGGTGTTCCGCAGGAACCGGTGTTGGGCCCACTTTTGCTTGTTGTCTTTTATAAACAATTTGGACAGTGAAGAAGGTTATCTAAGATCACAAAGAGTTCTTGATCAATTGGGTCAATGGGCTGAGGAGTGGCAGATGGAGTTTAATTTAGATAAACTTGAGGTATTGCATTTTGGTAAAGCACCAGGGGCAGGACTTGTACAGTTAATGGTAGAGCCCTGGGATGTGTGGTCAAACAAAGAGACCTAGGTGTTCAGGTACATAGTTCTTTAAAAATTGCATCAGAAGTAGACAGGGTGGTTAAGAAGCTGGCCTTCATTGCTCAGACCTTTTGAGTTTAGGAGTTGGGACATCATGCTAAGGTTGGACAGGACGTTGGTGAGGTCTGTTCTGGAGTACTGTGTTCAGTTCCGGTCACCCTGCTATAGGAAGGATATTATTAAATTGGAGAGGGGTCAGAAAAGATTTACTAAGATGTTGCTGGGACTAGAGGTTTTGAGTTATAAGGAGAGGCTGGATAGGCTGGGACTTGTTTCACTGGAACGTAGGAGGTTGAGGGGTGACCTTATAGAGGTTTATAAAATCATGAAGGGCACAGATAAAGTGAATAGCAACAGTCTTTTCCCTAGGGTGGGGGGAGTTCAAAACCAGCAGGCATATTTTTAAAGTGCAAGGAGAAAGGTTTAAAACGCAACTGAGGGGGCAACATTTTCACACAGAGAGTGGTTCGTATGTGGAACGAACTGCCAGAGGGAGTAGTGGACACAGTAACAGTTACAACATGTAAAAGACATTTGGATAGGTACATGAATAGGAATGGTTTAGAGGGATATGGGCCATACACGGGCAAGTGGGACTAGTTTAGGTTGGGGAAATTTAGTCTGCATGGATGTGTTTCAGCATATATGTTTCTATGACTCTATAATACTTACTGGCGATAACTGGGGAATTGTCAAACTGGCCAAGAGTAACTGGGAGACAGACAGTGCTGGCCATGAGTGACTGGGGCCAAGTTGGCGCTGGCCAGGAATGAGCAGGGAGACTCTCTGCACTGGCCAGTACTGATCATTGGTGCTAGCTAGGAGTAACCAGGATGGAGGGTCAGTTGAGAGTGACTGGGTTTTGGCGTCATGGGGTTCACCCAGGAATAACCAGGATGAGGTCCTGTGGCCGGTTGTAATTGAGCAGTATTCTCTTCATGGTATAAATTGTGCATCTTTTGATTCAGTTCACAGCAACATGCAAAGGTGGTGCCGTGGATGAGAAAAACTGAATACATCTCCACAGAATTCAACCGATATGGCATCTCCAACGAGAAGCCAGAAGTCAAGTAAGTGACATGGGGCTGTAACTCTTGTAGAGTGTTTGCAAGGGGCATAGGGTTATGTTAACCAGGACTCCCTGGATTGAAGCTTTGCCTTTGCTTACAGTTGACCAAGTGTCAATTAAAATGTTGCCTTTAAATCATTTTAAGGTGAATATAAGGTGGGAAAGCAATGGCCTAGTGGTATTACCTCTAGATTAGATTAATCCAGGGACCCAAGTAATGTTCTGGGGACCTGGGTTCGAATCATGTCGTGGTAGATGGTGGAATTTGAATTCAGTAAAAGGAAACTCTGGAATTAAGAGTCTAAATGATGATCGTGGATCCGTTGCCGATTGTTGGAAAACCCCATCTGTTTCAGTAATGTCCCTTAAGGAAGAAAATCTGTCATCCTCAGCTGGTCTGGCCCACATGTGACTCCAAACCCACAGCAATGCAGTTGACTCTTAACTGCTGTCTGAGCAATTAAGGGTGGACGATAAATACTGGCCTAGCTAGTGACATTGTCATCCTGTAAATGATGTTTTTTTTAAATTAAATTCTCTTTAGTGAGATAGAATCAGAGAACCAGCTGGGGAGGTAATAGACAGAGGTTGAATGTGCTGAACCAGACCAGCTGGTCTTGTGTGGCAGCTTTTCCTTCTAACCAATATTTCCAGTGCCCCCTGGTATCTTTCTGCATAAAGACAAGGAGCCACCCCCTCCGGCAGTTCTATAAGTACCAAATCCAGTTTTGATTTTTGGAAATCACAGCCACTGTGTCACATTCTGAACACGGGATATTTGGGACTGAGTTCAATTCTGAAAATTACCAGGCTGAATGAAGCCTCCTAAAACTGGTTAGCCTGAAGTAGTGTTGTGCCATCGCGCTGCAGAGTATTGTAGTTTTAGTTTAGACCTCCACATTACTTTTTATTGAGAATTGGACAGGAGATGCATGTGGTTACCCTTGATGTTGTTTCTGTGCTTCGGGGTGTAACTTGCACTAGTTCTGTCAATGTCTTATGTTTACCTCTCCCTCCAAAATCAGAATCGGTGTGTCTGTCAAGCAGCAGTTCACAGAGGAGGAGATTTACAAAGACAGAGACAGCCAGATCGCAGCGATTGAAAAGACATTCGTGGATGCGAATAAAGAGGTACTAAAAATCATTCCAACCAATGGGAACAGATCCCATTCCGAAATTAGTTTGGACCACCAATCCCCTGCAACCTGAGGGATGCTGTCATATTGCACCTCCCTGCATCACATCAATTATACCTTCCGGGAGGTTTCCTAAACTCTACCTTAATTCATTTCCTTTATTAGAGGTATACCAAATTATAAGGAATATCCAAACTATTAACTGCAGCAAACTTTTTATTAACAGGCATCTATGGGGCCAGGAGTGCATTGATTGATCAAATACTCCAAATAATCAAGAGGTAATAATCCATGTAAAAATGCACACTAAGTGATAGAAACATGATGCAGGGGATATACACATCACTGCTATACTTACAGCATAAATCACTTAAATAATAATGCAACTTTGCCTTAAATAAAACTTATCGACAGAGATCCTTCTCATTTGCATCCTCAACTGACCAGGCAGCATGGTGGTTCAGTTGTTAGCACTGCTACCTCACAGCATCAGAGACCTGAGTTCAAAGTTTTCAGTATCTCTTTGAAGTGATTTTTCGCAAAAATACAAGAGATAGAATTCAGCCCATCAAGTCTGCTCCACCATTCATTATGATCACCGCTGACTTTGGGTTTCAATTCACATTCCCACTGTCTCCCAAATCACTGGATTCCCTGAGATGTGAAAATATTTGTCTGTCCCAGTGTTAAATATAGTCAATGATGCAGCCTTCATTACCTCTCTGGGATATTCAATTGCAAAGATTTGTAGCGTTTTAAGTGAATGTCATTCTTCTTGTTGTACTCCTTGGGGAAATAAATCACCTGTGAACTTTTTCCTGAGTGAGTGTGACAAATGAACCAACATGGACCAACTTGGGTGGCACGGTGGCTCAGTGGTTAGCACTGCTAACTCTCAGTGCCAGGGGTCCAGGTTCGATTCCACCCTCAGGTGACTCTCTGTGTGGAGTTTGTACATTCTCTCCGTGTCTATGTGGGTTTCCTCCAGGTGCTCCGGTTTCCTCTTACAGTCCAAAGATGTGCAGGTTAGATTGATTAGCCATGGAGAATACGGGGTTACAGGGTTAGGGTTGAGGTTGGGACTGGGTGGTATGCTGTTCAGAGAGGCAGTGTGGACTCAATGTCTGAATAGCCTGCTTCCACACTGTAGGGATTCTATGATTCCACGATGGAAAACTTTTTTTCTTCTTTATTGTGTCATGGGATGTGTCCTTCATGTGTCTCCAGACTCTCAGCAATGTGGTTTACTGGTAATTGCTTTCTGACATGACCAAGCAAACCATGTTATTGTCCTCGGGAGCATGTCTCACTGATTCTTTCTTGAGGGCAGTTAGGGGTAGGGCAATGCTGTGGAAGGCTCAGTGGTTAGCAATGCTGCCTCACAGTGCCTGGGACCCGGGTTCAGTTCCAGCCTTGGGCTACTGTCTGTGTGTCGTTTGCACTCTCTCCCATGTCTTTGTGGTTTTCCGCTGGGTGTTCTGGTTTCTTCCCACAGTCCAAGGATGTGCAAGTTAGGTGGTTTGGCCATGCTGAATTACCCATAGTGTTCAGGGATGTGTAGGTTAGGTGCATTAGCCATGGGAAATGCAGGGTTAAGGGGGTGGGTCTGGGTGGGATGCTGTTCAGAGGGTCGGTGAGGACTCGTTGGACCGAATGGCATGTTTCCACACTGTGGATTCTATAATTCTGTGAATGCTCGGCCTTGCCACTAATACCTGCACCCCATGAACAGATACAGAAGGTGCTACCAAACTGGGTCACAACAGATGGCAGCAGTTGTTGAAGGCAGATCAGGTTAACAGTTCAACTCTAAGTTTCCAATCCTCGGTCCATGGGCTGACATTCTAACTGAGGGCTGGACTGTTCCTTCCAACAGCGGTACAAATATGTTCCCAGGCCATGCAGCCGGAGAGGCGATTTTATTGTTTACTCTATTGTCTCTCTATCTATGTCTCCTAGGTTACTCAACATTACAGCAAGCCTCGGGTTACCCCTGTGGAAGTCATGCCTGTATTTCCTGATTTTAAGGTAAGGGTTGTGGGTATGGTTTTATCAATGGTCATCGCATGATCTTGGAACATTATTATGTCCTGGTGGCCTGTCTCAGTTTGAGACCTTATCCACTTGGTTCTGGCAGAATGGTATGATGGAGAGATGGAGGAAACTATCAGTAGATGCTTATTGGCGTCAGCCATCATCAAGTTTTGAGATTGTTCTCCACATACCAACAGCCAAGTGGCTGCTCTGGGCCGAGGCTGACCACGTAGAATCAACTATGACACAGAAGGAGGCTATTCGGGTCATCGAGTTTGTGCCAGCACTCTGGAGCTAACCTGTTGCTCCCATTCCCTGGCTCTGATCCCAGAGCCTACAAGTTTATTTCTCTCAAGTGCTCATCTAAAGTTCCTTTTGAAATCATCAATTGTCTCCACTCCCACCGCCCTCAGGCGGTAAGGCCCATGTTGCTGCCAGCCGCTACATCAAAAACATCTTTCCCACATCCCCATTCATGACCAGCACCTACTTCCCATAAACTGTTTTCTGTTCAGCAACTCTGAATCCTCTTGTTTTACAAGCCTGAACTTCTCAGATAACTTTCTTGTGAGAAAAATTTTCCTGATTGTCTTCTGAAACTCCGTTTATCTCTCAAAGGCAAGTACTTGAAGCAGTGGCAGACAGGCCTAGAGTTGGAGGCAGTGTGATTAATTTGGATTGTGGCAGGGCTATGAGGAGAGTTCAGAGCAATGGGATTAGTTTGGATTTAATACAGGACTTCGGCAATGGAGCTAAGCAGTCAGATTAATTTGGGATTGATACAAGGCTATTTATGGGTAGTATTTAATTTCGTTAACTCTGTTGCTTGTTAAGCCGCCAACAGTCTGTCTCAGCAACTAAGTTTCCATTTCTTCCCTGATACGAATTTTTTTTCTAAGAAACTCTTGTGAGAAATCCTGCCAATCATGTTTTGAAAATCAGTGTATGCTACATCGTAAGCGCTAGACAAGGAGAGAGCAGTAACAGCATTAGTTTGGGCCAGGCAGTGGCTTAGTGGTATAATCACTAAACTATTCATCCAGAAACTCCGCTAATGTTCTGGTAACCTGGGTTCAAATCCTGACATGGCAGATGGTGGAATTTGAATTTGATAAAGGATCTGAAATTAGGAGTCTGATGACCATAAAACTATTGCCAACTTTTGGGAAAAACCCATCTGATTGACTAATGCCTTTTAGGGAAGGAAATCTGTCATCCTTGCCTGGTCTGGCCTACATGTGAGTCCAGACGGACTGCAATGTGGTTGACTCTTAACTACCCTCTGGGCAGTTAGGGATGGGCAATACATGCTACCTCAACCAGAGAAGCCCACATTCCATGAGTGAATAAAAAAAGTTTGGAAATCCTTTAATAAAGTTTTAAAGGGCCTTTTCTCTATGCTTTACATCTGTGATTCCATTTTGCCACCCTGATATGGTTTATAAACTGCTTGCCCTTAGCTGCTTTTATCACCCACTAACTTGGAGATTCTGCTTTGCATAATTCACCATCGTAGTTTCTCTGCTGAACAAAAGGCTTTGTTTCTTTATCTGCCGTTTGTATTAATCCTCCATGTTTCTCTTCACACCCTGTCCCCACCAAACTGAGATTGTGTTTGAAGTCCTGGAATGGGCTTGAACCCACTGAGTAAAACTGACACTTTGTCTGTCAAGAACATATTGCACTGGAGGTTATGTGATCTGCGACAATATAAATATTTTTGGTTGGTCACTCCCAAGCTGAAGATTTGGGAGCCCAGGGACCTGCTGAAATGTCTGATCAGAACCCCATAGTACTTTATTTCCATCATTCAGAAGTACTAGCAATCCTGCTTTGTTCACTTTGTTCAGGGTTCCTGAACTTTGGCTCAGGACCCCCACTGGTGTTGTGGGATGAGCATTTGAGGTGGCCAGCTGTGGAGCAGAGACTCCAATTTGAGATGAACCCTTTAGATGGGTGTGAGTTTTTTGCTTAACTGTGAGCGGGGTCATATCCAAGTATCTCTGAGACATGATCACTGACACCAACAGAGCCTGCAAAAGGCAGGTGTCTCAGTTGTTTTCTGTGCCTATATCCTTGCTGTTTGAATCTCAACACCTAATTTTCTCTCTAACTTTTAAGTGTGAAGCCTTAAAATGGGTCACAGCAGAACAATTGTTTGAGAAGCACTTTTGTAGAAGATGGTTTCACATCTCTGACTCCTTCTCGTTTCCATAGATGTGGATTAACCCATGTGCACAGGTCATATTCGACTCTGACCCAGCACCCAAAGAGATCACTGGTCCAGGTGCTGTGGAGATGATGTCCCAAGCTATGATCAGGTGAGGCTCTTTGACACACTGATGGTGTAAAAGGAGGGAGCCAGACCATGTCGCATTAATGTATCAAGGCTACAAGTTTCACAAGTTCCAACTGTGAGTTACCTTGTTAAAGCTATTCAATATGCAACAATTGGCTTTCAAAAGGTGGTGGGGCCAGGCTGCAAAACAAAACTGAGAAACCGTTAATGGCCATGAAGAAAAGTGGCATAAAATTAAGGTGGATTGAACAGGTAAAGGCATGAGATGAGTGTAAGCAAGCTTGTTGGGTGAGGTTTATAGGATTCTAAAGAAACTGAACAATGTAAGCAGACTTCACCCAGAACTGTAGAACTAAAGGTTCCAGAGGGCAAATTCAAACACTATCTGCACAAGTGATATTTTGTGAATGGTCCCTCTGTAAAATAGGTTACCTGGTGAGATGGTGGAAACTGTCAGCATTGCTTCATTCAGGTGCAAATCAAATGCAGTTCTTTCAGAACACAGTGTTTTGAAGTAACATGTATGAGGATCAGATAGTGAGCCTGGTGCAGCACATGTCTTGACTTGATTGAGAGAAAAATTGAGAATCATGTGTCTCTGAACTATGAGATGATTCCAGCCAGTAGTTAAGAAGCACAGTCTGTGGGAGGGAGCAAGAACTGCGATGTTGGAGTCAGAGATTACAATGAGTGGAGCTGGAGGAACTGAAGAAGGGTCCAGACCCGAAATGTCAGCTTTCCTGCTCCTCTGATGCTGCCTGGCCTGCTGTGTTCCTCTAGCTCTACACTGTTGTCTGTGGGAGAGAGTTGCCTTTAGCTACCTCCACGAGCTGGGCTGGTTATCTACGGGAGTAGAATCATAGAATCCCTACAGCCCATCAAGTCTATGCTGACCTCCGAAGAGGATCCCACCCAGAGCCACCTCCTACCTGTAACCCTGCATTTCAGGGCTAACCCACTTAACCCGCACATCCCTGAACACTACGGAGCAATTTATCTCGGCCACTCCACCTAAGCTGCACATCTTTGGGCTGTGGGAGGAAACCGGAGTCCCCGGAGGAAACCCACGCAGACAAGGGGAGAATGTGCAAACCCCACACAGACAGTCGCCCAACGTTAGAATCGAACCTGGGTCTTTAGGGAAATCATCAAAAAATTTTAAATAGTGGAAGGTTAAGTCTTGAATCTACAGTCTGCCAGCCAGTACACTTGGAGGAAGCATCAAAAAGAACCTTCATCTTTACAGAGAACTACTCAGCTCAGGGAGCTCAAGGGAGCTGAGAGTGTTCTCCTTGACAGGTAAACACAGCCTGTCCCCCTAACCCCTTTTACCCGATCTGCTGTCCCCTTTAAACCCCTCCCTGTCCTGCATCTCCAACTGTCCCAAAACCCCCACCATCTATCCTGGCCCCATCATCTATCTGCCCCACTTTGTGCCTTTTACCCCTGGTTCTTCCCACGCACCCCCATCACCTCTCCCTCTCCTTTACTTCCCCACCCCTGGCGTGCCTTCTGCCCTCCTCGCCTCTCCTGCCCCTTCTTATTCTCCCACACACACACACACCCCTGTTGCCTCATTCACTCATTTCATCACCTGAAGCTCCTGCCACCTTCAGTCCTCCATGCCCTGCCACCTCCCGTGTTTTTGGAAGGCAGCAGTCAAACATCCCAGTGGTGGCATGAATTATGGTGAAGATTAACTAACAGACCTAATCTTGATGTAAGACAAAAGGAGATGGTCTTGGAACAAGTTATGGAAAGAAAAGGTGTATTCTGAAGAGGTAAATGGTGAATAGCAAAATTATCAACATTAGAACAATGTAGGCAGTGATTATGATTTCTGAATTCTTGACTTCAGCGTTAACTCTGAAAGTTCCTGAGTGGTTCAGGTTGAAATGTAACTGTTTCTGTCTCTCCCCAGAGGTATGATGGATGAGGAAGGAAACCAATTTGTTGCTTACTTCCTGCCAAATGAGGAAACCATAAGGAAACGGAAAAGAGATAATGAGGAATGCATTGACTACATGCCAGAGGATATGTAAGTCAGCTGGTCATTTTGTTTTTGTGCTTAGAATTTACAGTAAAGACCTTACGCTGAATTTCAGCTATAGAATTCTCAAAATGAGGAAATCCCCAAGTATGAAGTGTAGTCTGCACTGATTTGAGCACAGTTTTAGACGGAAGATATTAAAATAAGCAAGTGGCTGATTTAACATTCCCGCATAGCACTGGTTATATGCTAAATAAAACTCCTTCCCCACCATTTTCTACTGTTTAGACAGATATGAAATAATTATTTAAACCTCTGTCTTTTCCTTGTTTCCCACTGTTAATTCCTTCGTCGCACTCTACTGGGGACCAGTAATGCCTTTAGCTACTCTGTTCCTTTAAATATCCTTGTAGCTTTTACTGTCCTTTTACTTTCCTTGCTGGCTTTCTGTCACAATTCAGTTCTTCCCTCATTATTTTTTTGCTGGTAGATTTCTTTGCTGGTTTCTGAAAGTTTCCCCAGTCTTCTGGATTACCACCATACTTTGTAGCATTGTGTGTTTTTCCTTTAATGTCACCCTTAGTTTCCTTTGTTAGCCACAGGTGGTGTATCTTTCCAATAGTGTTTTGTTCTTAATGAAACATATCGTCATTGAAGACTATGCAGTATCTACTTAAATGTCTGCTACTGTCTTTCTACTGTTTTACTTTTAATCTACAAACCCAGTTTACATTAAAGAGCTGTCTTCCTACCTTGGAATTACCTGTATTTAAGTTTAATTTGCCAGTTTGGAGCCATATTTCTCACTCTCAAACTGGATGTGAAATTTACTATGTGGTCTTTAACTCTCCCTGTCTCATTACACATTACCAGGTCCAAAAGTTTGATCCCAGGTGTATTGGTCAAAGTGTTATGATCCGAAGTGATGATACTACTGAGCAAGTCATGTCCCAGAGGGACACCTGACTTAATACACCATAAGTTTTATTTTTGCAATTTTCCTGCATTTCTGTCTCTGAACATATGTACAAGAGGCTGCCAAAGTACTTGGAAAGAGTAAAAGTTATTACCCAAAAAAAAAGCTGTATACATAAAACAATTTAGAACTAACCTATCTTAAGCAGCAAAAACAAAATAAAATCAATTCTTTTTCCCAGCATTACCCAGAAAGATACTCCATCCCAGTGAAGTATCCCACTCCTGTCTTTACCCTTTCATTTCTTGCTTGCAACCTAAGTGTTTCTTTTCACCAACTTTCTGCAGCAGATGTGATTCTCTCCATCTCTCCCTGAGACACACTGACACGGGTTAACTCAATAACGTTTCTCATTGAACTAAAAGGAAGAAAGTTAGGGTTTTTCCCAATTCCTTTGACAGCTTTGAAGCTGCAAAACAGCATATCTGCTGGATGGATCTTCTGAACTGAATCTCCTCTGGCCTCTCCATTTCTCTGTCTCTCTCTCTCTCTCTCTCTCTCTCTATCTTTATCTCTGGGTTGTAAACAGTTGACTTGGTAAACATTTCAGCAAGTATCTCACCAGCTACCTTGTCCACTCATTTTGCTTAAGTCATATGATTTTTAGAGAAATGCTGTTTTTGCCCTTATGTAAATAAACGCATTTCTGACCCTTAAAAAGAACACCTTCACTGTACTAAAAAAGTTACTTTTCTTTAGAACCCAAGTTCCCAAATAATAATATATTTAAATGTTTGTCACTTAAGATACCATTCCAAATGTATCCTTGCATGCAACTTTGAGGCTACCTTTGCCAATTTGGTTTGTTTAATTCATGTGAAAATCATGACTATTGCAGTATATTTCTTACAAATCTCCATTATTTCTTGCTGTGTACTCTGTCCTAGTCTGTAGGTACTATTAAGAGGCCTATATATTACACCTACCAGTATTTTCATTCCTCTGCCATTTCTTATCTCCACTGAAGTTGATTCTACTTTCTGAACCGGTATCATTTTTCACTATTTGTACTGATTCCACTCTTTATTAACAAAGCTACCCAACCTCCTTTTCCTTTTCTCCCGCCCTTCCAAAATGTCATGTATCCTTGAATATCTGTTGCCCAACCTTGATCACCTTGCAACCATTTCTCTATAATGGTTACAGTATAATTCTCATTTATAAAAATTCTTGTATAGGATATTGGTGTCACCTGCAAGGTTGGTATTTGTTGCCTTTGAACTGATTGACTCAATAGGCTATTTCACTAGTTAAGAGTCAACCACATTTCACTGTGGGTCTGGAGTCACATATTAAGATAATAGTTTATGACAATTAACAATGGTTGCCATTAGACTAATTTTTAATTCCAGCTTGCTTAAAATTAATTCAAATTTCATCATCTTCCACAGTGGGATTGAATCTCTCATCCCCAAAACATTAGCCTGGCATTCAGGATTACTAGACCAGTTACACCACAATCTCACACATTCGTTTTTTTCTTTATTCATTCATGGGTTAAGGGCGTCGCTGGCTAGGCAGCATTTATTGCCCATTCCTAATTGTCCAGAGGGCAATTAAGAGTCGACCACATTGCTGTGGGTCTGGAGTCACATGTAGGCCAGACCGGGTAAGGATGACAGTTTCCTTCCCTAATGATTTTTCTAACAGTCGACATGATCATCATTAGAATCTTAATTTCAGATTTTTTTTATTGTATTCAAATACTGTCATACTAACTTTGTAAAAGCACATCTCATGCAAACGCAACCCCTCCATGATTTATTGTAAAGCCTTTTCTGCAACCGCAGTTATATGATTCAGCAGATGACTTGTTCTTGTGGTTAGAGTTCAAAATAAGACTTTACACTGAATTCAAGCAATAAGTATTTTGAAAATGAGGAAATCGTTAAATATAAACCAGGGCTTACATTGATTTGAGCAAACTTTTACGCAGAGGGTGTTGAAATAAGTAAATGGTTGATGGAACCATTCCCAGGCCATGTAAGTTCTCTCTATATTATCCCCAGCTAACACGCAGAGGGCAGGCACAGCATGGAGTTGTTTACACTGTGTGGCGCAAGATGTATGAATGTGAGGTGAGATGACCCTGTGTCCCATACTCAGTGAGTTTCTGTTTTTTTCAGATATGAATATAAAATATCTAGAGAGTATAACTGGAATGTGAAGAACAAAGCCAGTAAAGGATATGAGGAAAACTATTTCTTTATCTTCCGAGATGGAGATGGAGTTTACTACAACGAACTTGAGACCAGGTGAGCTGAGAGCTAGCAATTACACACCGGCAGTGTCACAGCCAGACACTGAGGCAACATCTATCCCAGAGTGCATCAGCTGGCATGAATCGCTGGCACCTTTGTTAATTTATTCACATCTACTTCCCTAGCCACTGCCTCAGAGCCTCATCCTTTACAGAGATCACATAGCCAGAAGGTCCTCATTGAAGGCAACCTGAATTCCTGTTGTCATTCACTCTGACACCCTCCTTTCACTATCTTCATGCACAACAATACCCCCAAACAAATCCACACTTGGCCTTACCAACAACAAGGAGTTGCCCTCTAACCTTGCCAGCTGCAGGAGCCTCCCATTCAAGCTCTCCAATTGCTCTTATCATTTTCCAGTGCTTTTCCCACAGAATGGTACTCTCCTTGCATGGGTTCCACCATAATCTGTTTCGAAATAGGCATCATCTTCCTCTCCCGTGACATGGTTTTTGGCTCCTTCCTGTTCCTCCTTTACACATGTGTTCTCTGTGGCTGTGCGTTAAAGTAATTTCATGTATGAGGCACTGTTCACGTGTAACCCATACCTGCAACTCATCATTGTTGGCGGTCCCTCACAGACGAGGATGACTCTCTTCCACTCTCGGGGTGGTTCCGTAGGTGACTGTCCAGTCCAGCATGGCTTCTGCAGACTCTGCCACACTTGGGGCAGAAGGTGGTCATGGGAAGGGTTGGGTGGGGTGTTGGTATGGCAGCACCCACCTCATGCTGTTTTCACCTGGATTCCGCTCTTTCCTGGCGGCAAGCCTTGAGGTGCTCGACGCCTTCCCAGATGCTTCTCCTCCACTTTGGATGGTCTCGAGCCAGTGTTTCCCAGATGTCGGTGGGAATGCCGCACATCACCAGTGAGGCCTTGAGGATATCACTGAAGTGTTTCCTCTGTCCACCTGGGGCTGGCCTGCCGTTTTGGAGCTGGGAGAAGGGCACCTGCTTGGAGAGTCTCATGTTGGTCATGCAGACGGCATACGCAGCCCAACGCAACCATCTATGGTTGGTTAGTGCCTCAATGCTGGGGATGTTGGCCTGGTCGAGGACGTAGGTGTTAGTGTGTCTGTCTTCCCAGCAGATTCGCAGGATCTTGCGTGGGCAGTGTTGGTACCTGCAACTACCAGCTAGCTGACTGCTTTATCTATTTCCACAGAGTACGTCTGAGCAAGCGGCGTGCAAAGGGAGGTCATGGAGTTCAGTCGAACACCAATGCAGTGCTCGTGGTAAAGCACAGAGACATGAATGAGAAGGAGCTGGAGGCACAGGTGGGTAAAGCTGCTGGCCATTCTGAAGTACAGTCTTAGTTTTGAGATATTTGTAAAGTGTGATCTACTGCTCCCTGCCAATTCCTGCTTGTGGGTCATTTTCACTGATGTGGGTGATGGGAGTGTGCCATTGGGTTTAGTTTTTTGTTCTGGAATCGTTGACCAGCCCAAATCTGATCCAAAAACTGGAGACTGTTTTTCAACCAAAAAATAGACTGGTCATCACAGCATAGTGAACATAGGGAGGATGGAAGTCCGTGAGAAACTGCAGTCTCCATATCTTCAGTAAATGTGGGATTTCTTCCTGATAGGTATGCTCTCCCCACTGGCCTATGACCTTCCATGCACACCACAAGGTATCATTCACCATCTTGTGAAGACTGTGTTGAAATGTGACAAATGGGTGACCCTAATCCTTGAGGCCAGTCTGTCTGCAGCACCCTTCCTATAGAAACATAGAAAATAAGTGCAGGAGTAGGCCATTTGGCCCTTTGAACCTGCACCACCATTCAATATGATCATGATTGATCATGCAATTTTGGTATCTCACTCCCGCTTTCTCTCCATACCCTTTGATACCTTTCGCTACAAGAATCACACCCAACTCCCTCTTGAATGTATTTAGCAAACTGGCCCCAGCAGCTTTCTGTGATAGAGAATTCCACAGGTTCACAACTCTGAGTGAAGAAATTCTTCCCCATCTCAGTCCGGAATGGCTTACCCCTAATTCTTAGACTGTGACGTCTAGGTCTGGACTTCCTCAACATCAGGAACATTCTTCCTGCATCTATCCTGTCCAGTCCCATCAGGATTTTGTGTTTCTATGAAATCCTCCCTCGTGCTTCTAAATTCCAGTGAGTACAAGCCCAGTCAATCCAGTCTTTCTTCACATGTCAGGCCTGCCATCCTGGGAATCAGTCTGGTGAACCTTTGTTGGACTCCCTCAATAGCAAGAATGTCCTTCTTCAGATTAGGAGACCAAGACCTTCAATGCCTCCATCACTTTCCCTGCACAACTTTGTTCCATCTTGACTGATGTTATCTGCCTTCCCTGCCCACAGGGCAGTATGCTCCACAACCCTCAGTGCATAAGCAGTGTGCTTATTTTCCTCATTCTAAACTCCAGTCTGTATCGTCTGATTTAGTCAGCAAAGCCACATGACAAACAGCTAATACTTTTTTGAATGGAATTTCCCAATGTTGCCAATTTGGTGCCACATACGCAGTCACCAGCCCATGCCCTTGCTTCATGCTCTTCTTTGATGTTACTGTGTATTTAAAATGGAGGAACAGTTCCTCCTGATAAAACTGAAGCAATACCATCAGGAATGGGCCATTCAGCTCCTCAAGCCTGCTCTGTCTTTTCCATAAGATCATGACTGATCTTTGCTCCTACATCCAAAAAAAACAGAAATCTGCCTGCAGAAACTCAGCAGGTCTGGCAGCATCTGTGAAGAGAAAGCAGATTTAACATTTTGAGTCCAGTGACCCTTCTTCAGAACTGGTTGTAACTAGGGAAAGATGGTCTATATGCTGATGACAGGGCTGGGAGGGGGGCAACGGAGCAAGTAGGCAGATAGATGGAGATGGAGATGGAGCCTGGAGAAAAAGCTTCAGCGTTCCAGAATGAAGGAAAAAGGCATATGGGATGGAATGGAACAACTTATGTTCAGGGCAAACATTGATGTGGACTGGATGACTCCTTCAGTGCTACAATATTTGCATATATGTTAACTTGAAGTGATACCAGTGCAATCTGTAAAATCAAAGCCATGTTAATTTGCCCTCCCTGGACTGACCTAACTCCCTAACTCCCCACCTACACTCACCTTTACTGGCTCCATCCCCGCCTCTTCGACCTGTCTGTCTCCTCTCTACCTATCTTCTCCTCTATCCATCTTCTATCCGCCTCCCCCTCTCTCCTTATTTATTTCAGAACCCCCTTCTCCTCCCCCATTTCTGAAGAAGGGTCTAGGCCCAAAACGTCAGCTTTCCTGCTCCTCTGATGCTGCTTGGCCTGCTGTGTTCATCCAGCTCTACACCTTGTTATCTCAGATTCTCCAGCATCTGCAGTTCCTAATATCTCATGTTAATTAATAGCTGGGGCCTCAGCTAGGCTAGGGCAGGGCAGGTGGGTAGGGATAATGCACAGCCTCAGCGGGGATCTAGAGACTGTTACCTGACTTGCATTTGTCCTGTTCCCACACAGGAAGCCAGACGGGCTCAACTGGAGAATCACGAGCCAGAGGATGAAGAGGAAATGGAACAAGGAACAGAGATCCCAGGATCAGGTAAAGATGTTTGTCCAGATAGAGTTTCCTCATATTGACTAGTGAATGTGCAGGCAATCTTCCCGCTCTCACCCCTCCCCAAACCAGTTCAACCACACACACGCCCAACTTTGCTTCATTGTTCGCTATTTGTCTGACCTTCCTGCAGCTCTGTTAATAAAAACTATAAAGTATCTAAAAAGCAATTGTGATCCAGATGTCCATTCTGCAAGTCCATGCAACCTTCTCCACTCGGTCTCATCACCTACCCCCATCACCTCACCTTGTATTTTATCACTCCTGTGTACATCCCATCTCCTGATCAAAACATGAGCATCTCAAACTTCATTCTTTGTGTTTAAACAAAAAAATTTCTACACATATTCCTCCCACCCTAGTATTTTTGGCCGAGTATCTTAAATCCAGGTCCTCTCATCATTGTGCCATCAGCCAATGGGAACAGCTTTCCTTTGTCTGCCTTATTAAAACTTGCCTTAATACCCCACACTTCCGTCTGACCTCTGTCAATCTCCTTTACTCCAAGGAGAACAACTTCAGCTTCTTCAACCTAACCTTGTAACTAAATTTCTTCATCCCTGGAGGCATTCTGATAACTCTCCTCTGCACCCTCAAAGACCTTCCCACCCTTCCTAAAGAGTGGTGATCAGAAAATTATAAAGGATGTGTTGGTTGGGGGCAGAATGGATTTGGTGCTGATGCCTTGCACAGGTGAATGGTGTGTTGGTGTTCACTGCCCTGGCTTATTCCGTGGTTCATAATTAATTCATTACTGCTCTTCTTCCTGCACTCCTCCAGTCCAGTCTTCAATGTATAACCTCACTGTTGCCTCCATTACAGTTGCCCTATCTCCCACTAACAGCCCAAGTTTGGGCTGCTGTTTCTTTCCCCTGCCTGGTGTTTCTAGTGCCTGGTGCCAGCCCAATGCCAGCTGTCTTTCCCTTTCCTTCCCTGCGATTTTGTCTTTTTTTTTAAGTATTTGTTCTTGGGATATGGGCATTGTTGGGCAAGCCAATATTTGTTGTCTATCCTAATTGCCACAGTGGAGCAGCTTGCTAGACCATTTCAGAGGAGAGGTAAGAGTGAACCGTGTCGCTGGGGACGTGGTATCACATGTAGGTCAGACCCGATCAGGACGGTAGATTTGCTTCCCTAAAGGACATTATGAAACTGCATGGATTTCTACAACAATCAATGATAGTTTTAAGATCACTAAGACTAAGTAGTTGTTCGTGTACACCAATCCTGCGAGCATCTATGGTTTTTATTAATACTTTGGTAGTTACAGCATGATTACTTTGGTACTTCGTTAAGCTCCGACTCTGCAGAGATCATTACCTGTGCTCAATGGGTGAAGGTGACATGTGGTCTGATATCTCTGCCTGACTGATTCTTTGCCAGTTTTGGCTCAGTTGGCAGCTCTGACTCAAGTTTCCAGATTCAAATCCCAAACCAGAGCTTGAGTACAAAATCAAAGCTCTACTGCAGTGAAGCACTGTTATCAAAGTGCCATCTTTCACCTGAGACAAAACTGAGGCCTGTTTGCACTCTCAGGTATATGTAAATGATTCCATGCCACTATTTTGAAGAAGGCAGGGGAATGGTTCCTAGGGCAATGGCCAATATTTGACCCTCCATCAGTGGGGGCAACACGGTGGCTCAGGGGTTAGCACTGCTGCCTCACAGCACCAGGGACCTGGGTTCAATTCCACCCTCAGGTTTGTGTGGAGTTTGTACGTTCTCCCTGTGTCTGCGTGGGTTTCCTCCAGGTGTTCTGGTTTCCTCCCACAGTCCAAAGATGTGCAGTTTAGGTGGATTGGCCATGCTAAATTGCCCCATAGTGTTCAGGGATTTGTGGATTAGGTGGATTAGCCATGGGAAATGCAGGATTACAGGGATAGGGTAGCGGATCTGGGTCTGGGTGGGATGTTCTTAGGAGGGTCAGTGTAGACTTGATGGACCTAATGGCCAGCTTCCACACTGTAGGCATTCTATGATCAGAATATAAAAACAAATTATCACATTGTTTGTCCTTCAAAACTACTCCATTGGTTGCGAAGCACTTTGAGATGTTTGGTGGTCATGAAAAGTGGTATATAAATGCAATTCTTCTTTTCTCCCCTTAGAAGATGAAAAAGAGAGAGAGAGTGGCAGTGAGAAGGCAGACAGTGCGGACGAGCACTCTGGGAGTGAAAGTGAACGGGAAGAGGACAAAGAGGAGAAAGCCAGCAACAAGAGCGGGAGTGACATGGAAAGTAATAGTGGGGACGAGCGGCAGGCTCGCGAGGCCCGGGACGAGGAGGAGATCTTCGGCAGTGATGACGACAGTGACAATGAGGACCAACAGAACGAGAGCGGCCAAGAGGAGAGTGGCAGTGACGATGAGCAGCACAGCGAGGAGGAAGAGCGCAGGAGCCGCAGCAGGAGTGCATCCAACAGCGGCAGTGAGCAGTCTGACAATGAGAACCAACATGTTGTGCAGAGTGGCAGTGAGCAGGGTACGGATTCAAGTGAAAATGAGGGAAGTGGCAGTGAGAGTGACTGAAAAAGACTCAGTCCTGAACTGGCAGCAGTGGGTTCACATGGATTGGGACATCACTTTGTAGATTCACTGACAGTTTTGGGAGTTCAATGAGCATTCTGTCCCTTACCTTTCTCTCTCTGTCTGTTTACGCAGTAGGTGAGTATAGATAGCACAGTCCTGTGTGTGGAAACCTTGAGCGACCAACCCAGGTACGTAGCTGGTGTGGAAGATTTTAACACTTCGCTAAATGCTGATGTTTAAGGTCATTTTTATAAACATTTGTTAAAATATTGCAACGTTCTATGAGATCTTTAAATAGAGATTAAAAACCTATGGTGTTAAACCTGACACTGAGCTGGCAATGGAGAATGTGTCCAGGTAAAATGCAACGGGAGACGTTTGGGGATTCGAGTTTCCTCTTTTAGACCAGACACTGCATTTGAGAATTGAAAATATTTCTGTTGGAGAGAAGTACATCTACTTTTGTACTGAATTTTCTGAAGATCTATACACTATGGAACTAAATGATTTGGACATGCTTGTTACAGGTTCCAGGATTAACCTGACATGAGTTTTTATGATTGGGTGAAAAAAAATCACTCCATTTATTCGTAGTTTTGAGTGATCTCTGAATCTTTTTCAGCTCTTCATTGAGATTTAGGAATTCCTGAACAATGTTGGCAATTGAAGGTTTACGCACAGTGAGCTGTAGGAAGTCATGTTGCAGGTTTGGCACAGAGAACGAGAAAAAAGCCCCTGCTGTGAGTGGGAACTGTAAAAGCCAACCTTTCACCCCGTTAGTTCTGTTCTATTGCTAATTTGGAATGAAAGAGTGAAGTTCCCCAGAGCATAGGGACCATTGGATCATGAGGTAAGAAAAGGAAATACAAATGCTTATGAAGGACAGAGAAGGTCTGTACACCGGCTAACCTATCAAGTTACATAAATCCTCTTCCCTTTAAAAGTTGGAAGAAATCTAGCCTGCCCATGTTTGTCAATTTGTAAAACAAAATCTGTGCGAACAGTTTCAATACCTTTTTGTTGACATTAATAAGCCTAGTTGCACCCCTTAATCGATCTCTCTGCTTTGGAAACTCTCTAACAAGCTGTCATTTTCTCAGTTCACCGGTTTCTTAACATTTCTCAGAGTTTATCCTGAAGCCCCAAAGCTGTAGATTTTACTGATAGCATTTAGTTAAGTTGGTTAGCAGAGACCCTCCAGAATGTTGTGCTTAAATTGAAAATCCAATTGGAATGTGGAAATAATGTTAAATCTGCTGAATCTAGACTTTCATTAAACATTTGATAAAGTACCACATGAAAGGCTGTTAGATGAACGTAAAAGTCATAGGGAGACAAGAAAAGCCTTTGGAAGTGGAGCAGAAATTATCTGAGGGGTGAAAAATGCATGGTCGTTTAGGGGAGAAATGTGATGCATTGAGTCCGGGTCCTCAAGGCTCCATGTTGGGACCCACTGCTTTTTCTAATTTAAACCTGTAAATTTGGTTATAGAAACTCCACTGAAGCAATTACATTGAGAGGAATATGGACGAAAGGCAGGAATATGGAGCTAGGCCACAGATCAGCAATGATCTCATTTTATGGTGGACAGGCCTACTCCTGTTCCTAGGAGTGAAAAATAAAAAATAAGGAAAAAAATAAGAGTGGATTCAAAGAGACATGAGCTAAGTTAGATAAAATACGTCAGGGTGTGCCTATAGGTGAAATGGTTGAATTATGCTGCAGATGAGGATGTGTTCAAATAGTTAAACACGCATCCACCTTTGTTGCTTCCAATTGCATCTGCAGAGGTTGTTGCTTTTCATAGCAATGAGCTCGGTGTCAGCTTACAAGCTATTGTCATACTGAGAGACCTGATGAGAAGATTCCTGTATACAGCTGCCAATGCCAATATATAGGAGGGTGCTGTCAGTGACTAACTTTTCCCTTGATTCTTATGCCTCCTCCTAGACTAACACTAGGCTCACCCATAATAATGGCCAATCTGTATTGACCCAGTGACTGATTCTTGCTGAATGGCAATCGCAGCTTGAAGCAGTGCTCCATTTTCCTGTTGGGGAGCATGTGTTCAACGGGGATCATTAGAGAGGCCCCATCATTGGTGTGACAAAGCATAGGTTCATTATCTAATTAGGGACTGCCTCAAACCTGTCCTTGCTTAGCTTTACAAATTCATAAGAGGAATAGGAGCTGAAGGAGACCATTCTGCCCATTGTGCCATAGTTTGGCAATATGATCATGGCTGAGGTTATGCCTCAATTTCTCTTTCCTTACCCATTCCCCATATCCCTGATTCCCTGAGAGATCAAAAACCTGTTATTCCCGGCCTTAAAGGCATCTACGTCAAACAGACACCCAGGATAAAGACAAAATGTGCTTTATTCTCTGCCTTTGTTAGGTTTGTACCTTGACCCTTGGGTATGGTTTTTCTTCTTGTAATATAATTACTGTTTCTAACTAACATATTAGCAGGAACAGAGAGTCTGATTGCTAAATCTTAGATGTGTGTGGCATGGAGCCTAATAAAATCCGAGGCAACCCTTTACAATTATTAAAGCCAAGAGCCTCTACTGTGTAATTAATCCATTGCATGCCAACATCCCAGATGAAGTACTGCTCTCACTAATCTGTTATTTGCACATGTGTAGCCAGCACGTATGTGGGGTAGGTTGTTGGCAAGATTACCTAAAGGCAGAGGAAGAGAGTTAGAGGATACAGTAATAACAGAACTGATGCACTAGATTCTGAAGATATTTAATGAACAAGATAAGAATTACCCTCTTTGGTAACGTATTTGGTGATGTCAGAGGTGACTTGTGTATGAGTCGACTGTTATTGTTACTTTTCTGAAATGATTCATGAAGTAGGAGGGCCCAACTGTAAAAAGGAGAAAATTTTACAAGTTCATTCATGGAATGTGGGCATCGCTGACGAGACCAACATTCATTGACCATTTATAGTTGGCCTTGAGGAGGTGATGGTGAGCAGCTTTCTCAAACGATTGCAGTCCATGTGCTGTAAGTCCACCCAAAATGCTGACATAACAGGAATTTCAGGATTTTGACCCAGGAACAGTGAAGGCACAGCGACCTAGTTTCAAGTCGGGGAGGTGTATGGCTCGGAGGGGAACTTGGAGGTGATGGTGTTCCTATACATGTTCTGCCTTTGTCCTTCTAGGATTAAGAAGCTTAGAGTTTGATACTGGATAGATAGTCTAGACTCTTCCTCAGTGTTCCAAATGAGTAGTCAGGGGTGGATGCAAAGAGGTGAGACCAAAGGAGCTGCTGTTCTGCTGTGTCACATCGATGAGGGGCCTGGAATTAATTGGAGATTGAGAGGCTCAGGAGAAATTAAGAATTTCTACTTGAAGAACGGCACTTACCTTGGGAATGTACCCTTCCAAACTCTGCAGTTTAGAAGTTGGATCATGTGAGTTGAAAGTGAAACCGGAAAGCAATCACAGTTGCACCAAAAGTTTGAATCAGACCCACCCAAATCCAGTGGTGGCTTCTGGGCATGTTTGGTTGGAGTCTGGCTGGGAATGTTTTGGACTGAACCAGTTTTTCTGTTTGTCATCTGGACAATCTTGCCCCTGCACTGTGACGACTTCAGTTGCTCTTCCAATAGAGAAGCCATGGTTTCCTTTCCTTCTATAGAGGATCTCTTGCACCCACCACCACCCAAAACCCCCCTCCCCCAATGCTCCCATTCATCCTTCTAATTCCTTCTCTACTAGCACAGCCTTCCCTCTGGGTCGAATCTTCTTAAGCTGACCTTGAACAATGTGAAACCCAAGTGGACAGCTAGGACGGAAAGCCAGACCATCACCCAGTCTCTTCTCCAGTGAGGAGTGTATTGCTGGTAAAGTGGCAGTGGGCATGATGTATGGTGTACCATAGAAAGCCTTAATTCTGTTAACACTCCTCAGTTTGGGCCACATTTGCAATTTGTTTTGTCTGAACATGTGCTTGAAGACAGATGAATCAGCATTTGCTGCCTCAGTTCTTTGACATTAAGCTCTAAGTTTATAACAACAGTGACTTGCATTTATGCAGCATCGTTATAAATAGAAAAGTGTTGCAAGATACATCACAGATTAGAACCAGAAAACTCTGTTTTTCTGCTGACTGAGAGACCACTATTTGTAAAAGCGAGAGAGAGAGACAGGGAGAGAAAAATGTTTCGCAACGTTGGAACTGTTCGCAGAACTGTGGATAAGTGGTATACCTTTTATGATTTAATTTGGCCAGAATGGAATTTCACTCACATTTAATATTGGCACTTTTAAATTGAAGGCTTATAAGGTGAGTGAATGGTACGTTACAGTTGGCTGACCCCTGTGAGGGTTTCACAGCTTAATTTACTTAAATTATTGTCAATATAGCCACTGAAATCATAATTCTTTGATACTTATTGAACCTTCAGGCTTCCAACTCATAAGACTCCTGTGAGTAGTTAATACAAACTGTATCTAGAAGTAAGTGTTTAAAAACAAAAGGCACTTGAAATCTGTTTTTGCCTGATGAAGCTTCCCAATAGAACATTTGTCCCCTTTCCATCCCAGTTTTGCTCTGTACGCCTTTGGTTTCTGTCAGTTTGTCTCTCTCCAACTTTGTTTCTCTAACACTATGCAGTCAGGATCTGCGCTGTCCAGTTTCATCTTTCATTCTGGTGCCCTGCCTAGCAATGTGTTCCCTCTCCTGACCAGGGTCACCATTTGCAAGACACAAGTCAGGAGTGTAATGGAATACTCCCCTCTTGCCTGGATGTATGCAGCTCCAACAACACTCAAGAAGCTTGACATCATCCAGGACAAAGCAGCCTGCTTGATGGCACCTCATCCACAAGCATTCACTCCCTCCACCACTGATGCCTAGTAGCGGCACTCTGCAGCAACTCTTTAAGACTCTTTGAAACTCACAACCACTTCCATTCAGAGGGACAGGGGCATCAGACAGAAGATCCCCTCCAAGCCACTGACTTGGAAACATTTCACCGTTCCTTCAGTTACTAGGTCAAAATCATGGAATTCCCTTCCTGACGGCATTGTGGGTCTACCTACAGCACATGGACTGCAACATTTAAAGAAGGGAAATCAATACCACCTCTCAAGGGGAAATTGGATGTGGGCAAAAAAATGCTAGTGAAGCCCATGTTCTGTGAATTAGTCTTCTTTAAAAAGCACCAACTGTTGCTGAACTCGCTCCTTCTCTCTATCGTTAAATTAACAGGGACAAGCTTGATGCAAGAATGATGAGCTTGTGTCAACACCACTGTGTTCATAACCAGCTCATGGGCACATTTTGCATTGGGTCTGTTCTGTCTGG